ATCTCAGTGAAKAAAGGTAGGACAAAGTTGCAACCATCAAGTCCAAGAAAAACACACAGYAGCACATCAAAAGGTAAAGTGAACACTGAATAAATTACTCTGAAGTAGACTTAGAGATAAATATTCCAGTGGTGTCATGGAGTGAAAATATAACAGGTACAATACCTTATTCAATGTTGAATGTACCAGGAAAGCCAGACCTACCACCTCAGGATCAAGAACTGGGTGTGCAGAGATGGCACAGAATTAACAGAAGATGTCAGTTCTGACACCAGGGACACTTAGGCCAGCTTAGATCTGTGAACAGACAGCTGAAACTCTGTCTGTAGATCTGTTCAGCCACAAAGAAGGCACAGCAAGAGAAGACACAGTTGCATAGAAATTCCTACACATTACCTGAATTATTTTTGCATCCAGAGGTTTCAGAACACGCAGTCTAAGAGGYTTTGGAGAAGATCCATTGGTTCGTGCCGGAGAGCTGTATCAAAAAGAGTAAGCATAAAAAGAGAGAAGTATTTAGAACATGGAAAAGCAATTAGTTAGGAAAAATTGCTGCCATACCAAGTTCCTCAGAAACAGGAATGCAAATACCTTCACTCTCCAAGCTTTACTTTGTTTTCTACCTTCYTAAGGAACCACATGAACTGTGACAAATGAAGAAAGCAAAGAGAAACCAAACCTACACTTCCAATTCCTGCTACTCATTTGGCAGTGTGTTTCCAATATTGTAGCTCTGCAAACATATTATTACTATTATTATTATTACTATTATTATTATTATTATTGGTAATGCTGGTGATGAGCTTCCAAGACACCATTCCACTTGCACCCCCATGAACAGCATCTGGTTGATATTCAATATAATGTTCCTCATATTTTAAGACTTCTCAATAGAAATATTCACACAAARTATTTCCCCTCCCTTATGTTTCATTACGTGACCAGTTATGTGCATCAATGAAAGAATTTAATGCCTATAATGAAAAACATCAATGATGCCAATAAAAGGGGTTATTTTGGTCTTTTCTGTGCTTTTGTAAATTATTACTTTTCTGTTTAAGCTCATGGAAGATCAATGTGCCTATGAGGAAAAGTTTTTCAATAATAATCCATTATTTATTTATTTAGTTCATTTTATCAATCTTTTTCATAAATAAAATTAGGTTTATTTAGCTTGCTCTTAATTTTATTTCTAGTTGTCTGTGGTGCAAAATTTCTGCCAGCCTTGCAATGGTTCTCACATTTTAACTGCCAAAATATGTAGCTTCAAAATAGCTTCATCATGTTACTGTCTATACTATTGTTCTAGTTCATGAATCCTCTTTGTAACCCATAATGTCAAAATTCTCAGTATCCTGTTTTTTTCAACAGCTGGTGATTCCTCAGGAGCAGTGACCAAATAAATCATCAGTGCTTCTTCAGTTCCTTGTCAGTGCCAACAGAAATGGGTTCTCAAGAGTCATTCACAGAGTTTGTGCTCTCAAAAAGCCCACGTTACAAAAGTATTTTAGAGATTTAGAAAATGCAAATWAAGACCTAGGACACTTTTGAAAACTCAAAACTGTTCTAAAAATGTTTTTCCTTTCCACCTCTCACAGCAGAGTGCACTTTGGTTATTTGCTTTGTGCAAGTAACATCAATGCTTTGTTAGACRCTCAGATCCATTAAMAAACCCCAAACAACTCAAGACAGCAAAAGCAACTTCCTAACACTCACCTGAAGAGTGTCAGAAGAGAGGTGATGCCAAACAAACTCATGTTTTCACTGTCATACAACAGATCTGCTTTGTTGTGGGTAGGAGCACTGACAGCTTCTTCATCCAGAAGAATCAGCAGCACCTTCACAGTATCTCTGCCACAATAGGCAGTGCCGTGATTTATGGAGTGCAGTTTTGGCTGAAAGTGAATACAAAGGAACATAAACCAGCAAAGTTCAACACAGCCAGCCTAACAGCTCTCCTCCCAAATCAGTGCACATCAGCACAGTGCATGAGAACAGCCCTTCCTCCCTTTTGCAGGAAGCATTGATGGGGAACAGCTCCAGGGGAAAGGTTTTCTGGTCCCAAGCAATCAGCAGAGTTTAGATAATGCCAGCTGCATGTGTACATTGATGAGCAAATCACACAGAAAAATACACAAATCTAGGATGAAACCGTGCACAGAAATGAACATTCTATTTTTCAGTACACAAACATGTTCTGGTGAAGCCCAACCTCTCTAACAATCTGCTAAAGTGAAATTTCTTCAAGATTTGACAACGGTGGTGCTTGGCACAATTTCCTGCTGTTTGGGTGAATTTTCCACTAGAACAAAGAATTACTTGAAGGAAAAACCCAATCTGCATTCTGGCTCAATGTAACAGTCAGCAATACAGATGTAGAAATCCATAGCCACTATGGGACTTGAGGAATTGGAAGTTTCATACATTTTTCTTTAAAGGTACTAGGAATTCAACAGAGAAATTTAAGGCTTAATACACAGTAGTAAGTTGTATTTTATTTTTTTTTTTTAAACAGCTTTCTTATTTACTAATACACAGAAACACYGAATATTCTGACTGTATTCTCAAGGGCAAGACAACCTTAATTTATCTAATCAGTTAACTGCTTTTAAACACAGTCTTGAAAAGATCCAATTCTATTTTTCTCTCTGTTTGATTACCTCAATTAGTGTATGTAGCCTTCCAGAAACCATAGCAACACATGTCAGTCAGCTCCTATGAGTTATAATCAATAGCTAGAAACAGCAATTACAGAAATGGTTGTTCCTTGGCTTTACAGAATTGCCCTATTTTGGTACCATTTAATTTCCTCAAGTTTTATTCTGAACCTCCTCAGTCATTACATCACCATAACACAGATTTTTATTAAATGTCATGYGTGTCATGGCGAATTTCTTTTAATTAAAAAGCACAAATTTGGCGTCATCTTGACTGGTGATACACAAAGGAAAAAGAAAAATCTTTAGAAAATAACAAAACCTCATAACTTTCAGAAACCTCCAGAACTACCACATCAGTGACTCACTCTGTGTATCAACAATGGACAAAAGTCCAAGGCAAAATTAGAATTCCAGGTAAGACAACAATCTCTGCAATAAAAAAAAATCTTGTTTGTAAATAAGTTTAAAATCATGAATCAAATTACTTTTTTWAATAAAATAGTTGCTCTGTTCTTCAAGGGTAGTGACCACTAACGACTCCAGACTATTCTGGGCAGCTCCAGAAACACCAGCCAGGTTCCATTTACAGTAATTTTCTCAGGAAGAAATTAATCCTAATTCCTATTGGTCACTCGTGCAGGCTTCAACACAAAGTGCTGCTTCCTGCTGTATAAAATAATAACTTTTCCTGGAGCTCTAGATCCTTATAAACCAGGTTTTTGCAGGAAAACTGAGCCATGATGGAAGAAAACTGCCACTGCCAGGAGAAAAGCAAGTATTTTCCTAACGAAGTTACTCTTTTCAGGTACATTTGATGAGGAAGCAGCCTTCCCAGGAGCTCCCAACATGGGCTGGCTGTCTTGAAAAATAAAAATAATATTGAAGGTTTGATTCAAATTTGTAAAGTATCTTTTGCTACCATGGCATAATTCCAATGATTTCACAAAAYGAAGCATCCTAACAATTCTAACTCAAAGTGTCTGTAAATTTTTTAGATTTGCTAGAAAAATACTTGACATTAGGTATCTTATAGATCAATGACATAAAACAAAATAAAGTTTGTTGATATTTTATAACAAAAATATTATGATTTAAATCTGAGTAGATTCAAAGCACATGAACCACAAAGAGCAATCCTGTACTATGCTCTCGACCCCTGACTTACAGAACTTTAAATATCCATGAAAAAAATTCATTGAAAGTTTCATTCTTGAAACACTAAAAGAAAAAAGCTTACACGTGATTATTTGTTGTTTTCATTTCCTTTCCCCTCCATATTTTACCATGTGTTAGACTTTTCATATTTTAACTTATTTTGAATGCCTTACCTTTAGAAATACTTGATAATGAACTACTTTAACTTTAGATAGTTAAAACCTGCGTATTTTAATAAAAAGTTTCAGATGCATGTTCTCAAATCTTATTTCTRCCTTCATGAGGTGTTTTTGTTTGGACATTTGTTATAGATTTACTGCTTTGGAATTAGTGGCAAACCTGACAGCCCTAAGTATCTACATTTGTAACAACTGCACAATCAAAATAAGCTTTGAGGAGTATTGTATTTATAATTTTGAGGTAAGAAATCTAATTTAAATAAATCAGCTATTTGAAATCCACAGTGTAATCTCAAGTATAAGTCTTTCAACAAGTTTAAAACCACAATGTAGAGGAAATTACACTACTTTATAGTGTTAGGAAAAGATTATACTCTATAGATAGTCCTTTAAAAATTAAAAAGAAACAAAACAGGTGAAAGATATTTGCTTTCTTATAAAGCTAAATAGYAAAAAGAACAAAAGAAGTCCCATTACCCGCGCTGGACTGACTCCAGTAGTGCCAGCAGCCAAGGTTTCCTGTTGTGAATCGATAATATTTTTAATCCTCAAATCCAAATCTTGTACAACTTCCTCTAGTGCCTGACAGAAAGGATCCCCATTGCTTCGGCCTTTTATCAGATGCATCTTCACTGCTGACAGAACTCGGCCCCCTGCGACTCTGAAAACAGGCACAGGGTCATCTCCCATTAATCCTGGCAACACTTTAATATATTTATTAATGCTGGACATAGCCAGCCTTCACTGCTAACCAGTGACAACAGCTTTGATCTGTTAAATCAAACAGCACTGCAGATGCATTGTCCAACAACAGTTTGCTAGGAAAAAAAAAAGAAAGATTACAAGGAAAGGTAATGAATTTGGCATTTGGTAATACTCTGAGCTGCAATATAAAACCAACTTCTCCGTCAAAGTTCAAAGAAAAGCACTTTCTTTAAACCTACACCTACGGTTTTGCTCATWAATTGTTAAGTGTAAACAAAATTCTCCACTCAAGCATTCATTCCTGTTTAATACCCTGTTAGATTTTGGAGGCTCTCATGCTTTGTGAAGGTGCTTCAAAATCCCAGTCTTCTTTCAATTTTATTTAAAYAGATAGTAATTAGACCACAAGAACATCACTATCAGCTATAAAGGCACACTCCATTAATCTCTTTCTTCAGCAAATGAGTCTGACCACTTTAATTAAGATTTTGTGAAAGAGAGAATAAGCTCCTTGAGTTAAAAGCGTAACAATTTTGTCCAGTACCTACACAAAACAGTGAGTATGTTTTACCACTGCTTGAGCTTGGGCACAAAGAAAGCATTACAAGAACCACTCAGCAAAATAATGCATCTCTTCCCAAAAGCTTTTTTTTCCTAAATAAGGTTTACAGTCCACATCAGGGCAGAAATGCAGCATCTTGAGCTGCAATTTTAGATCCATCTATGATGCTGCAAATGACAATTCTGTCAAAACCCCAAAGCAGTGGCTCCATCACACCAGGTCACACAGCCAAGAGTGATAAAATGATTCATTTTCAACTCCCTCCACACTCACTGGTTTCCTTCGTGCTCTTGCCCTAAAAGCATGTTATGCAWATGCAAATAAAGATGTATTTTGTACACATTAAATCCGGAAGATTTTAATTTTAGAATGGGTGAACCTTCATTAAATGAAATTCTGCTTGTCTACATTCATRTGAAATAGAAAACTAATTGGGCAGAATTAGGTAAAAATAGGAATTGAGTCAGAGGAAAAATAATTTGTTTATATTGTTTCCACCTAAAATACAAGGAGGGAACTGGGCCAGGACCTTTCTGTTTTGGCTTATTTTGGCTGAACAAGACTCCTGTACATAACYTGAAAAACCTGATGTYACAATAAAACTTTTGKTTTTTGGGATTTTTTTTACACACAATTCTCAACTTCAGCTTTTACTGAAGACTCAAATCACATTAGATTTGTAGATTTACAGGTTTCATTAAACAGAAAAACTTACTCTTTGAAGAAACTTAAGGACAATGTATGCACTTGGCCAAAAGAAAAATCACCATGTCAAGTCTCTCTGTACACATGTCGAGACCCATCCAGATCTTGCAAATGATAGTTAAAAAAAAAAAATAAAAAAAAAAGAATCTGTTGTACCACTCCTCCAAACCCCACAATTCAATCTAAACTCAAAAGAAGAAAAAGTTCAAAGGCAGGAAAAAATATCCCCTGCAAGTTGTGAAGAGGTAAGAGGAGAGCACTGCTGAGGAAGAGTTCTGTTCAGAGATGCAGATGGGAACTGCAGCCAAGTCTCCTGATTCTTCTTGCCAGACTGATCTGTTTCCCTCAATCCTAAACTTACACTTTCCAAAATAACATGCTCAAATGAGAAAAGCATTGTATCAAATGAGGAGTGTCTGTTCCATAAATACTGTGCCCAAACTAGAACTGCAGGACAAACAAGCAGGTGAAGGGACTGACTGAAATTCCCTGAGAACACCAGCTTCAGTGATTTCCCTCTACAGATATGTTGAACTTATTTACATCTTTAACATCTCCACACATTTCAGATATGTACACAGACGTATGTTGGAAGGAAAAACATTATAATACAACCAGGACTGGGCAGYAGTGCAGTTAATGAAGATAATCGTGCCCTTAATTTAAGTGCTTTGCACTGCATGTGACTCAACTGCCTTGCAGATTTTCACTGGGAAAAAAACCCCAAACCTTTGAGAAAAACATTTACTATGTTTATTTTTTGCCTCTGTTGTCCAATGCCAACTAAAGATACTTGCTATTAGAAATAAAGTTCATTTAATCTCTTCTTCTCTCCATATTSCTTCTCCTTTTCCAGGAACGAGTTCCAGCCTCCTATCACATATACAAAGTACTAACTGGAGCAAAGAAAAGGAAAAGTTTATTTATACTTCAACTAGAATTTATATCAGCAGGCCAAGACATAAAATGCTGATTCAAGGTGTGTGGATTAGCASTGAAATATCATGCCATAGGTTATGCCATTTTACACCAGAATATAAGTTCTGTTGTGTCATTAGTCTTGCATAGACATATATAAATATACATATATAATGTTGAATGTAGTTACTAAATCCATTTCTGTGAGGTTCAAAAATATGAACTAAAATCATGAGGATTAAAGGAAAATATGGTAAAAAAAGCACCTGGAGTGTTTGGGGTTTTGGGGTTTTGCTTGTTTGACAAAGAGGACATCCTATTCCAGATTGGTCTGATATTACTCTTTTATAGATTTATATTATTCAGAAGGGAAGTTGAACTTAAATGAACTTGAAAATGTCCAACATTGCACTAAAAAAATGTTTATAAGAATAAAATARAGTTGGAAACTGTTCTCTACTTTGCAGCTCCTAACGGCCAGAAGGACCACAAAGATTTGTTTTAAATATGCAATTACATAGGCTACTCATGATAACTTTTGCTGCTGTAAAAAATAAGATTTTTTTTTTCTTTTTAATTCTGAAAGAGGAGCAAGAAAATTAATGGAAYTCAAGAATGAACTTGATACATTAAACAAAGCAATGTAATTTGTCTGAGGCAACAGAGAAGTGAAAAGACCTTATCCCTTCCAGTCAGTGTTTCTGCTAACAAGCTTTCAGTTCTGTTTCCTTCAGACCACGGGCTATGGATATGAGATATTCCAGGATAAAGTGCTTCAGGATCACATCCATGCTCTTTTAAACTGCATTGAAGGAGGAGTCTTATCAAATCCAGCCAGCAAATATAGTCATCTATTGCCACTAAGACAGATGTAATTTTTCTTTTTTTTTAAAGCAAGTAATTTGATTCTGTTCAGAATCACATGCAACATTTCTTTGTTCAAAAGGTGTGAACTGAAAGAAAACTCAACTAGAAAACCAAATTCTGTCTTTATCTATGATAGAAATAGCCAAAGGAAATTCATCAGTGGAATTAGAAATGGAAGGAAACTCCCAGCACTTTAGAAAGAAGCACCTTCACCGTCTGACAGAGAATGTTTGGGCACAGACACAAGAAGTCAGCAGTACAGTGGCAACCTTCCAGGGAATGGAAGCAGCAAAGTCCAAATGTGACCATCAGAATGAAAATTCACAAATACTTTACACCAACTGACAGAAGAAACAGCTTCATTTCTCCAGCTTTGACCAGCACTGAAATGGCAGACAGTTCAAGCAGGATTCAGCTCATCTGTCTGGTGGCTAAGAGAAAAACCAATGGCTGCATAGAAAAAKCCAATGAGATGTAAAAAATGCCTCATTTGCACAGTGCTTCTAGAAAGAGTTGAACAGTGCAATGTAGAACTGAACCTGTTACCACTCACTGGACACTTCTGGCACTGCTTTCTTCTGCTAAAAACATTCACAGACCTGGGGCCCCCTGGAACCCTTTCAGCCYTAATCATCTGAACCACAACCTGACCATTACAGCTCATTTCCCTTATCAAACCCTCTTTTTCATGTAGAAGTAACTAATGCATAAGAAACTAATAGCATACCTTTGCTCTCTTTCTCCTGAGACTGTCAYATAAATAAGTTCCTCAGCTTATCAAAAATCTAAATGACATCAGTAAGAGCTCTCACTCCAGAGCTCAGGCCTTACTGTGAAAAGTTAATGATGCAGGAGCCCTTTTATTCATTTTCTGGAAATACATCTTTTGTAGAAAAGACTAAAATATCATAAACAAGGAAAAAAAATTGAGAATATGGACAATATTCAAAACCTGATAGAAAGCAGAGCAAAGTTCTGAAGCCTATTCCAAGAACAAAAAAGAACATATCAAAATTCTGTTATACTAAGGTCAACATTTTTATACATTCATTTCACAATATCATCACAACATGATCACAAATACCTAATGATCACAGGGTGGGAAGAGATCATAGCCTTTTTTCCTTGTTGGAATTCAAAGATTTAAAAAATATTTTAGAACTTGGTAACAGCTGCTCAGTTATCCAAATYAGAGCTAATTTAGACCTATAGGAAGAGAGCAGCAGTAATTCCATTCTCAAACATAAAGCACKAAGATGTCAAGAGGGGGACAAAATTTATCTAGGAAAAAATACAATACAAATGCTTTTAACAGAGCAGTAACCATATCTTTGAAGCAAATCTAAATGTTTATTTCTGATTGTTATATGCATMAATTTAAAAAATCAGTAGTTCATGTTAATTTAGATTTCAAAATTTCAACAATTAAATCGTTTCAGTGAACTTAGCTAGATTTCAAATATATCTCTAAWAATAAAAACTATATCAAAGCACTCATAGTACTCAAAAATTCCACCTCAAGCAATGGATGTATTATTATTAAACTAATTTTCTAACAGATATCAATACTGAGTGAAGACTCTACTACTTTAGASCCTTTGGAGTTTCACAGATTATTATATCCATAACAAAAACACAGCAAAAAAGAAGAATCCTATTGCAGCGTATTTTTCCATGTTGCTGCTGCTGCTTTTGCTGTATTGGCTGAAATTTCTCTTTTAGCTTGGTGGAAGAAATTAGAGTTTCTTCTTTCTSCATCCCAAGCTTTGCTACCCAAGTCTGGTGACAAAGTTACTACAAAAGTAAACAAGTATTCTTCTCAGAATAAGAGTCTTGATAAGCAGCCATTGAATCCCTGGTGAGAAAGTTCTAAAAGGCAAAGGAGCTCAGGAAAGCTGTTGTTAATTATAATAATATAAATTACATTATACTATAATAATATTATGAGCACATGAGCAGTCCATCACAACACTTAGGAAAATATGCAGAAATATCAGTAGAGCAGCTTGGCTAAAGAGGGAACTGATGACAAGAACTTGAATGCAAAAGGGTTTGACACAGAATGGTGAGGAAGGGACAGATCACAAACTGTCTGGAACCATCACCCAGGCATTTGGGGATGTCATCAGGAACACCAAAGCTCAGCTGCAGTTGGGAATTACAAGCAATGGTACAGGAGTGTCACCTGCTGARCAAACAGAATGAGGGAGCTTTGCTGAAAGCAGAATTTGCAGCAGTGTGGACACAGACAAAACTGAAGTGCTTTGTGCTGCCTTTGCCTCAGTCTTCACCAGCATGGTCTCCTGCACCTCCCACTAGAGAATTTCTTCAGAAAAGAACTGCCACCAGTGCATAAAGATCAAATCAGGCTTCACTTGACAGCACTGAGCACATTCAAGTGCATTGAACCAAATGGACTGCATCCAAGAGCCTTAGAAGAACTGGAAAATGCCCTCACATAAAACAACTTGAGTTCATCTTTTGGTGACCAAGTAAGGTCCCTGAACAATGGAACAAAGCAAATCATTGCAAAAAAAAAAGACCAAAAGGACAGTTTGGGGGACCACAAGTTCATCATCATAATTTTGTTCTTTCAGAAAACAATGCAAAGTCTTCTAAGAAAACATCAGGGCATCTGAAGGATGAGTTGGTGGCTGGTAACTATAAGCATGTATTTATCAAGTGTAAATTATGCCTGACCAATCTGCTTTTTCCTTACAATAAAATGATGTTATTTGCAGGGCAGAACGGTGGGTGCCATTTACCTTGGCTGTGGCAAGGCTTTCAACAGTGCCACAGAATGCTCTCAACATGTGAGTGTTGCCACAGAATGCTCTCAACATGTGAGTGTTGCCACAGAATGCTCTCAACATGTGAGTGTTGATGTTACAGTCTGGCTGGATGGACAATCAGAGCAGTTAACAACTCGCTGGATGATCATGCTGAAGAGGCAGCAAACATGTTGTAACAATGGAGTAACATAGGGGCCTACCCCAAAACCTGGTTTTTCCCTATTATCTTTGACAATGACTCCATAGAAACACGTGCTCACCGAGTTTGCAGATGACACCAAATTGGATGGAACAGTCACAGTGCTTGAGGGCAGAGCTGCCACACAAAGATACCYAAACAGACAAGAGAAATGGGCTGACAGGAACCATGTGAAATTCAACAAGACATGCAAAGGCTTGGAAAGGAATAACCCCTTGCAATGCTACAGGCTGGGGAGCAGCTCTGTGTAAAAAACCTGGGAGTGCTGGTGCATGTTCAGCAGCGAGCCGTGAGCCAGGAGCATGCCTTGGCAGCAAAGAAGCCTGCAGGATCCTTGGCTGCATCCACAGTAGCGTAGCCAGTAGTCTGAGGAATGTGATTATCCCTCTCTAATCAGCACTCCTTGGACCAAATTTAGAATWSTGTGTCCAGTTTTGGGCCCCCGGTCCAGGAAAGACTCTGATAAACTGGAGCAAGCTCAGCAGAGGGCTGCCAAGCTGGTCAGGGAGACATGGCCTGTGAGAAGCAGCAAAGGGAACAGCTTGTTCAGTCTGGGGAGGAGAAGCTTCAGGGGGATTTACAAAAAGCATTCCAATACCTACAGGGTGGCAACCAAGAGGATGGAGCCAGACTCCTCACATTGATAGACAGGGAAAAGAGACAATAGGCATAAACTGAAACAAGAGAGGGCATATCTCAATATAAGAAAAAAAACCCTTAAACTTTTCATTGAGGACACAAGCAGTGGAAGAAGTTGCCAAGAGGGAGATTAAAAACCTTCAATAATGGAGACTTCATAAATCTTGTCTGGATAAAGCCCTGATTAACCTGAGCTGACTCCATAATTGACCCTGCTTTGAAAGGCATGTTGAACCAAAAACTTTCTGATAYTCCTTCCAACCTGAATTATTCCATAATCCTAAATTTAAGCAATCCTATATAGAATGTTTTGCATACGCTCACACAACTTTCCAGCAGCTTTAGACCACAAACCTCCAAGGCTGTGTGAACACCGTCCAATGAACTGAAACATCCAGCACAAGACCAGACYGAGTCCAACATTCGTTCTCTCCCCAAACCCTTCTGCACCTCGAGATGCAGTCAGAGTTTCACAAAAGAAGCGCATAAGAAATAGCTTTTTGTGTGTCGTGGGGAAGCTGAAAGCACTAA